CAGTACACACGTAGGAGCCGTTATCTTGTGTACTGATATTTAGTATGGTGAGATTTCCTTTATTAACTATGCCTATCGTGCTGGAAATAATCCCTTCTGACTTGCTCCATGTGATCCTGTCTGGTTTAGGATTAGCTGTCACGTTACACATTACAGTAACATTCCTGCCCTCCACAGTTTCAATTATGTGGGGAACAACTCGCACCAAAGGTGGTCCTAGAACACCTAGATGGTAATGTGAAACGAGAGGAATGTAAATAGTACATCGATTAATGGCATGTTTCATTTTATTCAAGATCTGATAGTAAACGCCACTCCAAAGAAAAAGATGATTAAACAGTGAATTCCACTTTAAATACGAAGGCGCGCTATAAAAGGAGAGGTGCCTTAGGTACCTCTGGATCATTTGTCAATCAACCGTCGCACCATACAGAACTCAGTAGTCAAATCAGCTTGAGCTGCAGCCGATCCAAAGTAGCGAGACGTGGGCAGATTTATTAAAACTTTTGCCTTTTTCATCTCAATGGAAGAATTTGTCAAGGTTTGTATTTCCTTTCTTCAGTGCAAACCGTTTTTATTTGTGGCGGTAAATTTGAAATTCGAAATGATTCGCTTTGCCATCGCAGAAATATTACCGACACCAATGTACCCCAAAAGCTCAACCTTTAATGTATTTCCAAACACAGTAACATGCAAGTACACAAATGATACTAAAATCAATTACTGCAGCTCATCATACCTTCAGTGCAGTTATCTTCCATTTGTCCATTTGTGTAAACACAACGACAACCTTTACTGGTGAAACCAGTTTGGCATCGCTTGCTTGATGGACAAAGAGCACTGGAACAGCGATTCTGCAGCGAAATAAACTAAGGATCTATGAAAGATACACGACCGAAGTCAACTTAGCGGATCACAAAGGAGGATCCAATTACGGATACAGGCTAATTTCAATTAAACAAATTCTNAGAGAGAGAGAGAGGGAGAGAGAGAGAGAGAGAGAGAGAGAGAGAGAGAGAGAGAGGGAGAGAGAGAGAGAGAGAGAGAGAGAGAGAGAGAGAGAGAGAGAGGGAGAGAGAGAGAGAGAGAGAGAGAGAGAGAGAGAGAGAGAGAGAGAGAGAGAGGGAGAGAGAGAGAGAGAGAGAGAGAGAGAGAGAGAGAGAGAGAGAGAGAGAGGGAGAGAGAGAGAGAGAGAGAGAGAGAGAGAGAGAGAGAGAGAGAGAGAGAGGGATTAAACTTGGTGTCCGTGAAACAGTGCTCGATACAAATAGTAGAGCGGGTATAATGTGTGGTAGGCGAAAAAAGCAACTACATATACATCCCTACAGACTTGTTTCATGGTTGCCCACTCATCAGGGGATAATCTATTGATCTAGCACCCAGCTCTTTGCCCACTTCTAACTATCCAGTCATACCGATCCACCCATCCATTAATTTATCAATTCATGTAAGCAAGCACGCATGCGTGCAAGCATTCATCCATTCATGTATCCTGTGCATCCACTTATCCATCCGACGGATGGATACAGGGAAGAAAAGTACAGGAAAAAACATTTGAAAGTGTGGATCTCTTCACCAGTTAGTGTAAAAAGTGAATTATTTCATATTTTTCATTTTGTTTTGTTTTTCTCTTTTCGTGGATTTGAGATCATTTTATTGACAAAAAATATATATGAAATTGCAAGCGAAGATAAGTCAACTCACCTTAAATGATTTATAAACGGATCCTTCTTTGTGCCTGAGATCCTTGGGATTAGTTTCATGATCTGAGTCACTTACTTCACACAAATATTTTCCATTCTTTTGTGGTTTTAGATTATAGGAAATGCAGTCATCTTCTATGATACAGTTTGCTTTACATGCACTGACTGTGTTAATCTCCATCATCTTAAAAACGTGTTTTTCGAGGAAGAAGTCCTGAACTGTGGGGTTCATCTGTACTCGTCGACATTTTTCTGAAGAATTGAAAGAATTAAGTTATATTTTATGTATCCAGACGAGCCACCTAGTTCTACATGAGCCAAGTTCCTTTATGCATGCTTCAAATGGTTCGTTTTAAATAACCGAGAGTTTCCGCATTTCATTTCCATATAGTTTTAAACCACCACTTTTATATTAATGGTATCTACGATTATGGATGCGCACTCCTAGCAGGAAATATCATTGTGGCAATTTAACCTTTGAAAATGAAAAAGCTTTAACGCGATAGAACTGTGTCGCTAGACAATTATGTGCCCGAATTGTTGACCATGCATTACTCGAACCAAATCTAGCGTGGCCAAGTATTAAAACTAAACTATCAAAAATTAAAACAAATTGAAGATTTTTCATAAGTTAGCTAAGAACTCACCTTGCTCTTTACCGTTACATAAACCAACCAGAAATGAAATTAGGAACAATCCCGACGAATTCATCTCTAACATAGAAGTTTGTTTTCTTTGTTTCTTTACGAGCAGAGAGGCGAATGAAAGGGTATCGTCAATAAGAATACGGATATAGTGCCTAAGTTTAGATCTTTAATGAAAATGGTATTGGCCAAACAATAGGGAATAACTATTCGGTTATACATAATCCAATAGTGCGAAAACGGTACGGTGAAGCCGCATGAGAGAATTTAAACATGGTAATTTTTCTTTTTCGCCTAATTACGGACAGTTTTATTTCTCGGTCTTCTCTTCGTAAATCTCCACAATTAAAATTGTTTCCCCCTCAACCAATTTAGAGAAAAAAAAGTCTTAAATTACGTTCTGCTTCTGAAAACTTAGCAGGTGCCTCTTTAATAACAAGTTGAAAACAAATAGCAACCTCAACATAATCAACATCAGTTCCTCTTTAGAAAGTGCTGTATATGAATTCCCGTTTTCCAACGTTATAAATGTTGTAAAGATAAGAGAAGAAAAGTATATACCTCCACTTTATAACGAATTTCTTTTTCTAAAATAAATGGGAGTTAAAGTAAAAAAGAAATTTGCGCAACTGAGTCAATATCAGGACTGGAAAGAATTAATTACGTCAAACTGTTTGCTAAAGAGAAGCTGATTATCATATCTTATGCGCTTCGGGCGTAAATTGATATTATTGAGCAGAATTTCAGGGAACATTCGTGCTTATTAAGTGCTTTGCGCGATAATATTTTAATTTTGTTCGTGTTACCTCTGAATATAGAGGAAAGATCAGAAAAGAGAATGAACGAACATCAATCTTGTTATCAGTACTCAGTCTAATTAACGATTCTGACAAGATGAAAACCCCCTTCTTTCATTCCAACCTGGAAAAGATAAAATACTTGGATGAGTGTTCGTAGCCCTCTTAAAAACAGAT